AACTGAGGACCCCCCTTTTGGTATTCAGAGGGCCGTTCAGGAAAAATGGACTAATTCTGTAGTCCTCACATAAAGGATAAAGGATAAAGCATTTGCCGTTGATCAATCCCTTTTTGGGATGCGGCACGCATTCTACTTCCATTTGTACATTCGTAGTGGCGTTTGAATGCGATGTGGCCTATACAATGACTTGCGGGGGCCAGCCGATGTACAAGTCAGTGTTTTTATCCTCCCAGACAAGTCTGGTACCAATTAACCGACCCCGGAGGGATGGAAGGCTTGGTTGGCCCGGGCGACTCACGACCCACCGAACATACCTACTACAATTCCACATGGTACAGGCGTACTCATTATGCGATCGCAATACTGCAATCCACCGAATCTATATCGAGCTCAATGTCAGTGACTTATTCCTGAAAAAGTATTTTTAGATCCGATATGCAAGAAGACACTAATTTGTCGTACTTTCATGGAGCGCTGATGGACCAGGACGCCGACGTAATGCTTCAGGTTTCTTCTGAGTGCATACACTACTAAGAGTCTGGGTGGGAACGCGCCAGCAATGCAAGCACCCTACGGTTTTTGATTCTTAGCTCTGAGCTGTGGGGCCGTCTTCTACAATCGTGGGTCCATCTACTTGACTCGCGTGGCTGTTCCATTCACAATCACAAAGTGTAGTGGGCCTTTACTCTAGAGTGAACTAAAAGAATGTGCGCCTGAACGTCATAAAATCTGCTCTCTACATTGAGACTTTCAGTTATAATTTAGGAATTTTTTCAGAACGAAGGCGATTTCTTGATTCAGTCACGACACTCAAGCCAAGCGATCAGGCAACGCATGGTGATCGCGATTCGCACCAAAGACTCCATAAAACGTATTGACATTCGACGAAACGAGAACGGAGTTCGGCTAGGAGTACGTGACTACTTGATCGATATCAAAATTTCTAAACAAAAACTGTAGAGCCTCGTTTGGTCTTTCAAATGAGGGAGAAGGAGAAAGTGGTTGGTCCTGATCCTTCTGCTCCTTGTCTGCTTTTCATATGTAGTCACATTCAACAGAAGGATGCGACCAGTCAGATCAGTTTATATGTACTCGGCCAGGTATAGGACTTTCTGAAGGTGGTCGCCTCAGAAATCAAAATATGGAGGTAGAAGGAGATCTGACAATAACAAAAAAATAGAAAAGTTGCATATTATCAGTGGAATCTTTTGTGAAAATTATAGGGCAAAACATTTCCAAATTTAAAGAAGATGGTAGAATATTACTCTAAAGAACCAATAGTATTACAAGGAGGAGAAGAACTATTACTTAAAAAAGCCGTTCCCAAAGGAAAATTCCAACTTGTTCACAGTGATGTGAGACTTCTTAAAAAGGTCAGTGTTGTAGAGCACCCGTCTCCAGTCGTTTGCTACTATTGCCAATAGCCTTAGTTCAAGTGAGCTCGTCCTACAGGGACGGACTGTATGTGGACAGTATTCGTGCATAATAACAAAATATCGATAAGCGTGAAAAGAATCGATTCAGAGCGAACAGACGAACAGCTTGGTATTTCGTTACCTGAAACTCACAAGAAAGGATGTAAGTCGAGTGCGTATAAAATGAGAAATACACTTGGTCCGCTTCAGAACGTGATCGAATGCCTCTATTTGCTAAACGCCTCCAAACGGACTTATGAAGGCGTATAGCTCAGTGGTGTTTTATAATGTCCGGGTGGAGGTAAAAGCCTCGTAGAATCGGCTTACCATAAAAAAGCCACACAAACACCAACGAAGCAACCCACCCAAACAGCCAAAAAACAAAAAAACAAATCAAAACCCAACCACCTACAAATAAAACCGAAATTGTTGCTTTGCTTTTGTCTCTAGAAGTGTTGCGGACAAAAGCAAAGCAACAAACTTGCAAAGGAACCGATCCTACGAGCTTTTACCTGCCACCCGGACCATCACCACTGAGCTATTACGCTTCATAACTCCGTTCGGAGAGCCGTTTAGCAGATTTGAGCGTAGCATTTGGATACGTCTGGAGACGCGATCAGGATGTGTACATTTTCATTAGAGCGAGCTCACTCGACTACCATCCTTTCTTCGCCTAGCCGCAAGATAGAATGCCGCCTTGAAAAATGGCGTCAAAATTAGAAACTCATCTTTCGAGTAGCGAAAATGCTCTAGACCTTTTGCCGGTATAACAAATATGTTAACACAGATTAATCGAGTTAGCGTGAGGGAAAGTAGTTTCATAAACAGTAAGTCAATGAAACACGGGTAACTGCCGTTAATTAAAAGAAAGTGCGGAAGGTGCATTTTTTGACGAACTAGCTCTCGCCGCTGTATTCGTAATAGAAAGTGGTTCTGAGAACACCAAAGATTCTTCGGATCGTGCTTTCAGCATCTATATATGTTTAATTCTTGACCTGTGCGCCTTGGTTGTATTTGGAATGGACAGAGTTCAGCGCTTACCAGGAAGGTCTTTCAGGGCGTGACGAGCTTTTTGAAAACGGTCTTTTGCATGATATAGGGGCAGATGCGGGGACCACAGAACCATGTTTAATTTTTCCTGAACGGCCCTCTGAATACCAGAAAAGGGGGTCCCTAGTTCGATTCCTCTTGGTGACAAATTTTTGCATTTCGAGTTGACGTTCCAAAATTCGCGCAAAATGGAGTTCTGATTGTTCTGGTTGGTTCTAACTCCATTTTGCGCGAATTTTGGCACGTCAACTTGAAATGCAAAAATTTGTTACCACGAGGAATCGAACTAGGGACCTCCTTTTCTGGTATTCAGAGGGCCGTTCAGGGAAAATTGAACATGGTTCTGTGGTTCCCGCATCTGCCCCTATATCATGCAAAAGACCGTTTTCAAAAAGCTCGTCACGCCCTGAAAGACCTTCTTGGTGAGCCACGCAAAGGGGATATTGGGACCTTGCGTGCGGTGCACTGCATAAGATGCTATGCCTGTTGCTGTAATAAGATGCCCGCTGTTGTGCTCATACTGACTCTAAGATTCGAGAATGATGACATATGGTGTTGAGTATAGCAACGTAAAAAGAACATGTTATTAGAACTATCATAGACGTAGACGAAATGTTATTAACACTTAAATTATAATAGAGCGGTGCTCGGAGGGGGGGGGGGCACTCTGAGAAAAGTCATCTAGGACTAAAGCAGGGACGAAAATACGAAAATTGCTTCCGTACACCGGAGTTCCTCTCCTCTTCAAAAGCTTAGTCCTAAAACGGAGCGTTTCCGTGATTTTGACGCGATGTTGCGAGGTGCCCCCCCCCCCCCCGAGAATGCCAAGAGTGAGTAAAAGGAGAACCAACGGGCATGGTCGGAAAGGGCAGGATGGCATGGGGGTGTGTATCAGACCATTCCGCCGGCTGACGATTGTGTTATAGCTCGACCGCTCCAACCGAAAGATGAGGACTTCGTAGGCGCAGCCTCTCAGTGAGAAGTCAGGGTGATGATCGAAGTGGAAGACGAGCACGGGCTGTACATAGATGTGGAGTAGCTTCCCGTGCATCTGCCGGTTCCATCCATTTGGATCGTGGACAGGCGAGTGGGGCATGGCATTCTGTCGGCGCGATGATGCCGGGGCAAAAATCGCGACAATAAGGGTGCAAAACGCGAAGAGGATCGCTCCGCACGACGGGCATCATCCACGCCGTAGTCAAGTAAAACACCCAGCATCGGAAAACCATCGGTTCATACATCGGTTGCAACCCTAGTAGACCATCCTATCGAGCATTTCGGCACGTTTGCTGAGCATAAACGCAGCACTGTAGTGGGGGATCGCGCTATGAAACATATCCCTGAGAACCCTTTAGAACCACCCGAGTATGCTAGGCTGTAAAGAGGAGGCTACACTGCATCCTCACTTGACAGCGGTTCAGATTCCACTCAACCACAGCTTTGACAGCG